TCATCTACATAAGAACATAAGAATCAGGAGCAGGAGTAGGCCATTCGGCCCCTCGAGCCTGTCCCGCCATTCGATAAGATCATGGCTGATCTTCTCACCTAACTCTGATTACCTGCCCTATCCTCATATCCCTAAACCCTTTGTTTTTTAAAAAATCTATCAGTCTCAGCCTTGAAAATGTTTAAGGATTGAGCATCTACAGCCTTCTGGGGTAGTGAATTCCATAAATTCACTACCCTCTTGAGTGAAGAAATGTTTCCTCAACTCTGTTCTAAAAGGCTGACCCTTAATCTTAAGACTGTGACCCCTGGTTATAGATTCTCCTACCAGTGTCTACTTTATCCAGCCCTTTAAGAATCTTATATGTTTCAATAAGATCCCCCCTAATTCTTCTGTACTCTAGAGAATATAGCCCTAGTTTTTTCAGCCTATCTTCATAGGTCAGTTCGCCCCATTCCAGGAACTAACCGAGTGAATCTACGCTGCATACCCTCTAGGGCAAGTATGTCCTTTTTTAAATAAGGAGAGCTATCCTTTCATTGCATAGGTCATAAGAGAGAAATACACCTTACCAACCAATGCTTTCAAGTACAGAGCATTAAATAATACCATATTTTTAAATGTCTTCACTTGTAGCCAGCTGTAAAAAAAAGCTTCAAGGTAGTCTTTGTTTTTCACCATATGCAGCCAAGGTTACACACTTTAACTGCAGCAGATCAGGCAGCAATTGTTTTGGATTAGAACATCTTTGAATCAATGTCAAGAATGCAATAATTTGTATTGGTATTGACTGATCACTCTAACTGAATGTTCTGCATTCTTAGTTTCGTCAAAGTGTCATTCAGCTCGTACACTTACACCAGATCCAAATTGTATTTTTAAAATAATTAACCTTGTATTTGTCAGTCAATATGAAATCCCTGTAACCAGAACCGATTAAATGATGCATCGGGCAAACACAGCAAACTGAAATTTCATTAAGGGCTGATAAATGTTGAGAACATGCTGAAAAGTCTCCCACCTCCTGCTCACCTGAAGGCAACGACTTATGCTGGAAGTTTGTTACATAAAAAAAACCTTCCATTTGATATAGTGTTTTTCACGTCTTCTAGTCGTCAAAAAGCGCTTCACAGAGTATACAGTAAAGTGAACTGATTTATAGTTGTCGGCGAAACAAGGCCGCCAATTGCGCACAGCAGTGTCCCACAAACAGGCGTGGATGGAGTGACCAATTTATTAATTTGTTGAAGGCTTATTATCCCCAGAAAAGCGATCTGCCAATTGACTACCGACCAGGTTCCTACTTACTGCTAGGTAAACAGAGGTATTATAATAAATAATAACAATTCTTGTATTTGATATAGTACCTTTTACGCCAGGAAGGTATCTCAAAGCACTTCACAGGATATATTGTAAAGAGTAGTCACTGCGTATTTTGCAGGTGGGCATGTCAGCCAAATTGCACACATTCAGCCATGAAGTGAGTAATCAATTTTATTATGGGGGAATTGATGACCAGGACACTGGGAGAAACTCTGTTTTCTAACAGTGCCATGGAATCTCTAATATCCACCTAAACAAGCAGCAGGCACAGTTTAACACCTGATTCAAGGATGGCACCTCCAACAACGCAGCACAACCCCAGCAATGCATTAAAGTGTCAGCCTAGACTTGTGAATTCAAAACCTCAACATGGGGTTTGAACCGACAACCTTTAGACTCAGAGGCAAGAATGATACTAAATGAGCCAGACACCTATGACACATCATGTTTAAAACACATTGATAGGATCTATCATTGCAAGCAGCCCTGCAGTATCTCACTTGACTAGTCATCCTTAATGTATTTAGAGAGCACATGCTTGCAATCTGCTTGAGTGTGGAATATCATACCTGTTGACATCAGCACAAGTATGCCCACTTTTGATCAAAGGAGCTTGCAGTATGAACTCTCCTAGATCATTGATGCTGGGACCCAGTATAGAAACTCCATCACCACCCAGCCAACATCAGATAACTCAGTACAGAACAGGAATTAAAACTTAATCCTTCTCGTCTGTAATTTTGAATACCAAACCAGATCTGGTGTCAGTCAACACTGAGTCACCAATGATCTGAAAGTAATTATGGATTGCATGCAGGTCTTTTTTTACATGTAGTCCCTGTGTGATTTTTAAAGACTTTGTTTTAAAATCATATCATCAAGCATGTAGGTAAAATAGTGCTACCAAAATAACCTTCAGTGTATGATTACAAGGAGGGGAGAGAAGAGAAAGTTTTTCTTATTTTACAAGAAAAAGATTAAATATTGTTGAAGGCCCAAATATTTTTTCCTTCCTCTCTCTAAAGGAAAGCTATGAAAAGAAAAACTCATACATATTGTGCCCATGGTTGTGGTAGACTACTTCAGTTCACTCAATTATAATACAACTATGATGTAAAACCAGCAACTATAGTAAGCGATCAGCCAGCCTGGCACATTGGCAAGACTTAAGAGGGGCAAACTAATCACAAGGACAAGAGACTCTACCCACTCAACTCTTGTTAACCCTCCATGTCTCCAGGGAGATTGTGCACATTCCTTTCCACACAGAAATATTTTCATGATTAGGTAGCTTACATGAAACTGTCTGTTTTGATACTGTTAAAAGCATGGTGATGAGTTTCCACATGTCAGACACCAGGCTGACCAAAGAAAAGTAGAGACTTGTTAGCAAAAGATTTCTGTGCATGTCAGACTGGTGTCTTAACCCAAATATTAACTGCTACACTGTGCAAATTGCTCTTGTGGTTTTCAGATAAGCTTGAGAACCACCTTCTTTTCTAAATACTGAGAAAAAACATGATTCTGTACAAAATTCCAGGAAGCGGACCATTTTAGATCATTACAGCACCACACACATGTTGAATACATACTAGGTTTGGTATCAGTATGAATTGGTTGTGACGTACCCCCATTTAGATTCCATGTTATTGACTACAGGTTAGAACACTTGCCTCGCAAGCAAAAGGACCTGGGTTTGAGTCCTGAGCAGGGCGAAATGTTAGGCAAGTTTCCTTACTACACTCCTGTTTGCCATGCAGTAAATAGGAACCCAGTTGTTAGTCGATTGGTGGATCGCTTTTCCATGGGAAATAATCCCTTCAAAAACAAAATTCAAAAATAATAATTTAGTTACTCAATCCATGACGATTTGTGGGATACTGTTGTGCACTATTGGCTGACGTGTTTCACCCACAAAATAAACAGTGAATTCACTTTATAGATTATTCTGTGAAGCGCTTTTGAAGTCTTGAAGACGTGATAATCCTTATATTTGATATAGCACATCTATATATATTTGATACTGGCACATCCTTGTCCTAGTGACTGGTTTGCCTCGCCAAGTCTTGCTGATGTGCCAGCTGGCTATATCATGCAAGGATTATTAAAGTCACTCCACTTTACGATATATCCTGTGAAGCGCTTCTTGCTTTCCAAAGGACAGTCAGTATGAGCCTAGATGAAACTAAAATAGTTCCATGATTAAATAAAACCTTTGAAACTCTTCTAAATGGACACCAGAACAAAGTTCTTCTATTCTGCTGCCATGAAAATATAGCCTTTGGACATGTAGTCGAAACAAGAACAATCAGGTGAAAGCTTGCACTTTAAATGACCAAGGCTTTCCATTTTTCCAGTAACGTGCTATAATTTGTCAAGTTTAAACACTATAGATTTGTTTTCAATATAGAACAAAGGTCATTTGCATGCATGATATAATGTGTAGTTTACATGGTCGGAAGCTGTGATACATCATAGCTTAGCTACGCAGGCTTCCTCAGAGCCAATCCAACCTCAAGAAGAAGTTCTCTCTTCATCAACCAGTTAAGGCTACGTGAGCCCAAAGGGATTTGAGGCTGCAACAATCTGGTCTCTTGTGTTTGCTCAACTGATTGAATCATGCAAAATGTTGCACTTCAGCTAATAAATGATAAATTAAATTTAATATAGATAAATGTAAGGACCAAAAGGTTGTGGGTTCTAGTCCTATATGAAAACTTCACAAGAGTGGTTCAAATTAAGAAATCCTTTAATTTGGCTGGATTTTATTGTTCCAGAATACCCACCCTACTTTCTTCCTAATCCAGTAAATAGCATCAATCACTAGGTGTTGATTACTCTCCAAGTAATGAAAAACTGTCTGATGTTTGTATTAAACTTGCCCTTCAAAACCCTTGACCAGTCTCCTCTTGTCCTACTTCTTGGTCTACCTGAAAGTATTGTTCAGGATTTACTTTCTTTATCTCATTTAACATTGTGTAAATCTCTAAACATTTCTTTTTGAGGTTGAAGAGCCCTAATTATCCCTCATGAAAATCATAATCAAGTAACACTTCAGGGCAAATAGAGAACAAATTGTTGCAAGTCCAGTCTTTTGGGTGAGATGTTAAACCAAAATATCTGCCAGATTGGGTGATTTAGGTAGCCATTGAAGATCAATGCCCTGAAGAGCAGTCATGGGAAACATAGGAACATCTGCTGGACCAGAATACACTAGTCAATCTGGCTAGATCCACCTTCAAATGTCATCTCGACTTTTCTTGCTTACATCCAAATTCCCCTTTTCCAAATCAAAAAGTTACGCAATCACCTCTTGAAACTGCACACATTAATTGCTTGAATATCTGAGTCTTGGTCAATACTCTCTCATGTTAATTCACGTGAATCATTTCCATTGTTGTTTGTGGGATACTGTGGGTGCAGATTTGCCTACATTCCAGTTACTACATTTCAAATTAACATTGTCTAAAGAATTTTGAATTGATTCAACTGAATAATGTTCTATAATAATTATAATTATTAAGTAGATACCATTGCAATTTCTGTGAGAGATTAGAAACAAACAACCTTGATGTAAGATTAACCAAACCACCACATGATGGCAGGCTGCATCCAACAAGCATCAGAAACGGTGTTAAGAACAATTAGTAAAAACAATAAACAACAAACCACATTTATATCCATTCAGAAACTCTTTAATTCCATAGCTTTATTATAATCATTTGAATCTTTCAATCTCATCCGTTAACTTTGGGTAAATTACTGACAAATGTGAACGTATTTTCTTTATCAGTGTTTAACTTAAAACCAGCAGCATTCCCTTTACAGCCACCATGCTGAACCACCTACCTCACACTGTGAACAGGATGACATTAACTGGTCGTCACACTATTTAATTATTTCTTGAGTAAATATATTTCTTGGTAAAAAAAATTGCAAAAAATGTGTTAAATTAAACAATACAAATTTAAAGTCACATTCCTCAATATGAGTGAATTATTACATTTAAAAACAGTTGATATGTGTTATAATAGCTTCATTGAATTACATCATCAATCTATATATATTTCTTGATTTCTTTAAGGCATCCAGTGCACTTCAAATGAAATGGATCCATTAAATATTTACACGTAACCACCACTGAAGTACATGCTTCAAGAGAGAATATTGAGATCCATTAGCAGGAATATGTGTTTCACATCCAGACACGGTAAAATCCAAGCGCTATTGTAAGGCATGTGAAAACTGAACCTATAAAGGAATATTCAGCGATAAGAAAACAGTAACAAGTGAGTTTATTCTGTTAAACATTTTAAGATGCAACTCTTGGGTAAAATAATCAAGCACTTATCTTAACAATAAAAATGTTTGGATTGCAAAACTGATAATATTGATAAGAATTACTTTTATACAACAGTCAGGTGGTGACAGATAAATCTGACAAATCAGTCCATGGTTAGATTCAGTTTTTAGCCACTGTAAAAAACTATTGTGCCAAAAAATGTTGGGGCTTGATTTCAATTCAATCCAAAGTTTCAGTATCTGCAATGCCTTTAGCACAGTATTTGCTCTAAAAATGTTACAAACAAATCATATCTTTATGCAGAAAGTTATTTACCCCATTTACATATAGGCGAGTATGTGTATTCGCTGACCAATAATTAAATAACATCCATTTTTAATTTGTTAATTGCTGGTTTCTTACCTGCTAAATACTTTATTGTGTCAAGTTTATGTGACTCTAGCAAGGTTTTGAGTCCTGCTACTTCAGTCTCTATTTTCCGATCTGTCTGAGTCACGGCACGTTCTTGTTGTGAATTCTGAAGAGTAAACAAAAGCTGAATTCAAACTGTTAAAAATGATAGCATCAGGGTTTAAAAAAGGCAATAGAGCAGCCACAATGCTACACTTTTAATATTTCACTTTAGCAGATGATGATCTCCCTATTAAATCACAAGCATCTAAACAAGATTACTTTTTGGAGCTGAACTTGTTTTATGATCTTGTCATTTGAAATTGCACCATATCACATTGTTGAAACATCTCAACATGTTTCACAGGATTTTTACACTGTGCTCAACAATATCACAAACAGCCTTGAAGTGAATAACCTATTTTATCTGTTTATATATTTAACCACACACCTAAAATTAGAGGGAATAGATTTCCACACACAAATTAATTTATTACAGGGAATACAACCTTAAATAGGGAGAAAAACAATATTTTGCTGTACTGACACTTGCACTGAGGTTCCCTCTCCAAAACATTTAGATAAATCTGATTTAAATGTTTTCATGCAGAGACTTATTGGAACATGGAAAGCTTTGATACAAAAATTTGGTTACAAAAATTAAGCTCAAATATCTTAAAACAAATTGGATAATTATTTGAAGAAAAGCAATATTAATGTATATGGGAGGAAATAAATTAGGAAAAGATATAGCTCCAGTGAGGGAGGGAGCACCAGAAGAGGCTCCATGGGCTGAATTGCATTGTTCTGTGCTATAAACTTCTGAGGCTGCAGTATGACTTCAGCAGATTGACCCAGCAGTGCACAACAGCCCTCTTAAATGACTGTGAACTTAACTCTCCTACCTTTCTAGCTAAATTTGAATAATTGAGGGGGGGGGGGAAGAAAAATTCTTTACCAACTCCACTATTTGTGACCTGGTTTCCAGTAGTCGTTTTTCATGTTCATTGAACTGAAGAGACAAAATGTCATTTTGTTTATGATTAAAACTACAGCAAAACATCTATAACAAGCATCTTTATTAATACCAATTTATAGGAACTTACAATTTCTTTAAAGGGCACAAATTACAATAAGCTCAATAGTTTACAATAAACAATTACAATTATGAATAAAATAATGGAGGTGCTGCAGTTTCTAAAAATAAGATTTTAGTGGCAATAAACTCTCTGAAACTCTGAATCCATTAGTTTTGAGAATTAAATTGAAGTTAGAATACAATGACTGAATATGGCAATAATATTGCCCAATAATTAATATTATCATAATGTGCTGCTGCACATTAAACACCATTAAATATTGAAGTAGAAATGCTGTCAGCCACATTGGAAGCTTCATTAATGGCATGTCATCAAATGGTCCTGAACAACCTGCAATCTGGATTCTGCTTCATCCAATAGAAATTGGTCCAACTTCAGCCAGAAAACACTGAAAGCTAAACCAGACACTCTTCTTAGGCCAAGTAGGCTCTACAGAAAACGATTACTACCCCCTCCCCTAGGTGAACCTGGAGTCCTTAAAATTCAGATCATCTATCCAAGTCATTGTAGAAAACAATCAACACAGTCCACCCAAAATGCAGACAGGATTTCACCCATTGTTATTTTGCATTACTCACTAACTTAATATCCACTGTAAATCTTACCAAAAGTATAGACAAAATACTAATAATATTAAAAAGGGTTCAACAAACAACTTCAGGAGATAAAAATGACATAAACCTCTTACCATTTCTTTAACTCTACTCTTATCCAAGTTAAGGTCCAGCTTGTTACTTGTAGACAGCTTGTTGACTTCATCCTGTAAGGATTGGAAAGACTAATAAATACAACCTTCATACTCAGTGGCCTAAAACACATTAAGTCAATTGATAAAGAAGGTGAAGAACGTTGCAGGTATGAGAGTTGGGATTGGGAGAGTTAAGGATGTGGAGATGTTAGGCCAAGCCAGGTTTAGACTTGTGATGTATATACAGAATTTCATAACAATTTTGATGAGTGAATTGGTGGGAAACTGACATAGTTCATACTCCAATTTCAAAGGGAGCTGAAGACTTGGCACTGTTCACAACATACACACAAGCATGTTTTGGGGAAAGTTGCAGAAACCCACGACAGAATTAGGCTTCACACTGGTAACTTAGGTTATGTAATGTATTTGGCGAACATGATTGTGGCAGCCTCACAGATATAGTGCGCAATTCACTGCAATTGGGACAAATTTCAAAGAATGCGAAGTTAGGGAGGAAGTCCTATCTCCCCCCCATCCTCCAGATCAAATTCAAAATCCTCATTTTCAACTTTAACAACTGTACAATTCGCCTCATCGGTGGGCGAGCTTTCAGCCATTCTGGAGTTCCTCTGACTCCCTCATTCACCTCACCACATTCAAGGTCCATCTCAATACCTCTCTCTTTGACCGCATTTCCGATCATGTTTTCCCTCCCCACTCACCTTAGATTACATCCCTAGCTCTGGTACTCAGCCAGCAGTGTCAAGCTTTTTATTTGAAGGAGGAGGGGTGGGTGGGGGAATGCCTTCCTGATTTGTAAGTGTAAATTTATATCATATTGTGAAAAGGGGGCTAGGGATAAACCACTCAAGTACAGAAGTATTGATTGTACGAAAAAAATGAAATAATGGACAGTATAAAATATCTTGAGGCACATAGATGCATCAGAGACAGCCAGCATAACCTAAGGAGTGGGCAGCTGTGCTTAATTGAATTTCTTTGGGAAGTTAGACTGAGTGAATAGAGGTAAGAAGTTTATGTTACAATGCAGCCCTGTCATAGCACTTCACTATAGCACAAATTCACTTAATAACACGGTGGCACTGTGGACCCAGTTCATCGTGCAAGCACGGAGCCAGCCCACTTGGGTCCCTCCCGCCGGTCAGCTTATCACAGTGAATCAGCCAACTTCCAGTTCATTAGGTTGTCATGAATATCACTTCCTGTTTTGCAGTGTACATGTACAGCAGGAAGTGATATTAGCAGTGACCTAAATGATCCAGAAGTTGACCATTTTACTTCCTTCACCAAACAAAAGGTTTAATTCCTGGTAATCAGGTGCCGCTATCAACATTTGTCACCTTCCACATTAAACTGGAAATTACATTGGTGGGACCCAATGACCCAGCAGGTGTTGTGCACACACAGTCAAGCCCCTTGTTGCACCTTTCTACAATGCAGTTTAGGAATTTATGGATGCCAAACATGACATGTTATTCAAGTTACTAGTACTTTGACTTCTTGGATTATCATGACAAGTTGGGATATATGTTTTAGTTAAGGTTCTTGGACATGCAACACATTCATATCCCCAAAATACTCTGCTGTCCCCAAGCCTTGGCTCTTGCCAGCCTGTGCCTTATACTCTCTGAAAATAGATAAGCAGGCTGTGTTCCTCCAGAGAGAGAGTACATATTCAATTCCAATACATGGGATTTCCATGTGCAGGTTGGATACATGAAATTTTCAGTAGTTTGAATACTCTTAAGCACGCTGATGGGATTTCCACATGCATCATCTACCCAGCTGACCAAAAACAATGCAAAACATCAGGCTTTCAATCTGAGTTATCTAATGACAAATAACCATGGAGCAAACCTGTCAAAAGGGCTTACTATTAATTGCTTTTGGAGCTGAAACAATTCAATTTTCAGTTTCTGAAAGAAAGAAAATGACCAAATGAACAAAAAGTTTCAGAAGATACAATGAAACTTGAGATCACATGCTTTTTGCAACTTAAAAACGTTAACATGATTCCAGAAACATCAAGTTTCTATTCAGACTTATTTTGTTCATCCCACTTTGTTAGAAAATTGTCCTATAAAAGGAACAACAACAACAAGATTACATTTGTATAGCGCCTTTCAAGTGGGAGAATGTCCCAAGGCGCTGGACAGAGTGCAGCATTTCAGACCCGAGCTGGGGTCAGGGAGGGCGAAGGGAGGGGAGAAGGGGGGTGGCCGATGGCATGGTCGAAGAGGAGGGTCTTGAGACAGGACTTGAAGGAGGCTAACGAGGGGGCGAGGTGGAGTGATTGGGGGATGGAATTCCAGAGGGTGGGGGCAGAGGCTCAATGGTGGGGCGGGTGGGTCAGGGGACGTGAAGCAGGCCAGAGCTGGCTGAGTGGAGGGAGTGGGTGGATTGGTAGGGAGTTAGGACGCAGCCTGTGGACGGAGGAGTTGGGAAGGCCGACAAGCAGGGCGTTTGCATAGTCGAGCCTGGAGGTAATGAAGGCATGAACAAGAGTTTCAGCGGCCTGAGGGGTGAAGTAGTGCGGGTCATGGCTTGAATGTGGGGGAGAAAAGACAGTTGAGGGTCGAACAAGACACCCAGGTTCCTGATGGCTTGGTGAGTTGTAGTGTGCAACCATGGAGGTTGATGTTGCCAGAGCCTGAGGTGCTGAGGCACTGGCGTGAGCCAATCAGGAGGGTGGAGGGTGGAGGCAGAAAGATAGAGTTGAGTGTCATCTACATACATATGGAAGTTGACCCCATGTCTGCGGATGATGTCACCAAGGGGGAGCATTTAGATATTAAAGAGGAGAGGGCCAAGGACAGAGCCCTGGGCGACGCCAGATGTGACAGTGTGGGGGCTGGAGGAAAAACCGTTAGAGGCAACACAGTGGAGACGGTGAGAGAGATAGGAATCGAACCAGGCAAGGGCAGATCCGTGAAGATTGAGTAAAGCGGAGTATATGGGGATGGAGTGGTCGACAGTGTCGAAGGTGGCAGAGAGGTCGAGGAGGACAAGGAGGCAGAGGGAGCCCTGATCACAGATGTTCAGAATGTCATTAGTGACTTTGACCAGGGCTGTTTCCGTGCTGTGGACAGCATGGAAGCCGGATTAGAGGGGTTCAAAGAGGGAATGGCGAGAGAGAAAGGAGCGGAGCTGGGGCGCAACGTTCCAGGACCTTGGGAGAGGAATGGGAGGTTAGAGATGGGGCGGTAGCTGGAGAGTAGGGATAGGTCCAGGGAAGGTTTTTTCAAGTTGGGGGTGATGACGGCTGTTTTTAGGGGGGTGGGAACTGAACCGGTGCCAAGGAGAGGTTGATGACATCGGACAGGAGAGGGGCCAGAAGATGGAGCTGGGAGACGAGGAGAGACGTGGGGATGGGTTCGAGGGAGCAGGTGGTGGGTTTGAGTTTGTGGACAGTCGTGGTGAGGGAGGAGGGAGAGATAGGGTCGAAGGAGTATAGGGGAGGTTGGGTGGGGGTGGGTCATGAGGGAGAGGTCATGTGGGGGTGGCTGTGGACGGGGCTGAGGTGGCTGAATGTATCCCCTCGGTTTTAGATTTGAGGAAGTCCAGCATCTCCTCAGTTGGAGTTTGAGGAATGGATGGGCGAGGTATGGGAAGGTAAACGGAGGAGACGGTTAGTGGTGAAAAAGAGAAGACTGGGGTTGTTCTTTGCCTTCAAGATAACCTTGGAGTCGAAGGAGGATTTGGCGGAGGCAAGAGTGCATCGGTAGATCTTGGTGTGGTGAAGCCAAATCTGCCAATGGACCGTTAGTTTGGATTTGGTCCAGGCCCGTTTGGCAGCTCGGACTTGTGCCTTGAGGGAACGGAGATGGCTGGTGTACCGGGGATTTACGGAAGTATGAGGCAGTTCGGAAGCTGAGGGGGGCAAGTGAGTCCAGAATGGAGAGGGAGTTGTGCAGAAAGGAGAGTGAGGAGGGGAGATCAGTCAGTGAGGGCCAGAGGTGTAGGAGTTCAGATGACTCCAGGGCAGTGGAGAGGGAGAGGGAGGAAATTTTTTTCCATGGACAGTATGTAATGATGGAGGGAACTTAAACAGTCACACTCAGTTACAGTACAACATACAAAACACATCCCAATCTCGTCATGCTTAGTCTAAGGATGAATAGTGGTGCAAACGTCTTTGAAACAGGACTACGTTAGCAAATGAGTATCTGATCTTTTATTAAACCAACAACAAACTTTAGATAGGAGAAAACATACTCTATACATTGACCTAATATAAATATGTGAATCTGCTTTTCAGAATATTAAAAAAGGATCTGCTCTATCAGGTAAAAAAAAATCACTAATAAATAGCTTTGTCCATTTTTAAACCCTTTCTGAGAGGCAAGTTCTGTTAACAATGGTTTGATTCTATTTAGGAGAATTCAGCGATCCGTTACATTGGGCTAATTAATCCACATTAAAAGTCTTTGCCTATAATGCAGCCTCTTGCTCTATCCATGTCAGGCCTTTCTCAGATTTGATTCTAATATTTATTTTCATCTCCAGAGACGCCAGTATTTTAGAGCACCTTGACAACTCTTCCAGCTTCAAGCTATGATCTCACCTCATTCTCTGCTCGTAATGCTGAGAATTCACTCTTTTCTAAGATAATCATGTCCTTTTTCACTCCGGCTATTTGTGACATTATCTGCTGAAGCATTATCTCCTGCAATTAAATTACAATGGTTACCATTTCAGAATAATTTACAACAGTACTATTCCAATAACGAATTAAGAAAAGCTGTACTGTTGTAATGTACCATATTCTAAGAAGTATTTTGAACAAATAAGTGTAATTTAGAAATTTAAATACAAAATTTGCACTAACACAGTTGAACCCTTGCGTACGTGCCTTGGTATAGTCCTGGTCTACGTATAGCACTGGTGCACTATACAACCCAGTATATTGGAAGTGGGGTATAATTTCAATGCTGACTGACCTGCTTCCTGCACATAGTGCACAGTTGCGGAAAACCCAGCAACCGCTGGAACAACAACAAACATTTATGGAATGCTTTTCACGTCGAGAGGACGTCCCAAAGCGCTGAACAGTCAGGTGTCAGGGCCCGAGCATGGGGGAGGAGTGGTGTAGGCATGAGCGAAGGCTGAGAGGTGGGAGGGCGACCAAAGGCACGATCGAAAGGAAGGGTCTTGAGACTAACCTTGAAGGAGGCAAGAGAGGAAGCGAGGCGAAGGGACTGTGGGATGGAGTTCCAGAGTGTGGAGGCAGAGCGGCTGAAAGCCCGGCCACCGATGGTAGGCGGGTCGGGCGGGAGATATGGAGCAGGCTGGAGCCTGCTGAACGGAGGGAGCGGGCAGATTGGTAGGGAGTTAGCAGGTCAGAGAGGTAGGAGGGGGCAAGGCCATGGATGGCCTTGAAAGTGAGGACGAGGATCTTAAAATCGATCCACTGAGGGATGGGGAGCCAGTGGAGTCGGGTGAGGGTGGGAGCAATGGGGTTGTGGAGCCTGGTGCACAAGAGTACACAGGCTGCAGAGTTTTGGATGATCTGTAGCTTGTGAAGGGAAGAGTTGGGAAGGTCGATGAGGAGGGAAGCGCTTGTGAGAGCAGTTGCTGGCTTCCTGTACACATGCACAGGAAGTCATGTCAGTGGCAACCTGACAGATGGCTATTTTTATAGTGCATAATGGTGTCTGACTGTAAAATGCCAGTTATTACGTTAAATCCACACATCTTATATAAAAATGCAGGCATGTTTCTTCCAATATTAAAAATGCACATGCACAGGCAATAATCCTAATAAATCCTAATAAAACATTGTAGTGAGGTAGGAAAATATAAATATTAAAATAGTTATATTGATATGCTGAGAGACACGGGCAACCGACTAAACTACATGACTGCTGTAGCCAGTGCAGGCCACGTGTAGCTGTATGATTTGGGCTTTTCCCAGAATATCGTGGAACTATATAGAGGTAATTTGCTCAGATGTCAAGAAGTGGATCTATCAGTTGGTTTTCTGACCTCCATTCCTCCTTGTTTCAGAGACCACAAGCTTTCGAGGCATTTTGAAAACCTGAGTCATAGTGGAATCGTGCAAATTCCATTTTACTTCCTTCACCAAACAAAAGGTTTAATTCCTGGTAATCAGGTGCCGCTATCAACATTTGTCACCTTCCACATTAAACTGGAAATTACATTGGTGGGACCCAATGACCCAGCAGGTGTTGTGCACACACAGTCAAGCCCCTTGTTGCACCTTTCTACAATGCAGTTTAGGAATTTATGGATGCCAAACATGACATGTTATTCAAGTTACTAGTACTTTGACTTCTTGGATTATCATGACAAGTTGGGATATATGTTTTAGTTAAGGTTCTTGGACATGCAACACATTCATATCCCCAAAATACTCTGCTGTCCCCAAGCCTTGGCTCTTGCCAGCCTGTGCCTTATACTCTCTGAAAATAGATAAGCAGGCTGTGTTCCTCCAGAGAGAGAGTACATATTCAATTCCAATACATGGGATTTCCATGTGCAGGTTGGATACATGAAATTTTCAGTAGTTTGAATACTCTTAAGCACGCTGATGGGATTTCCACATGCATCATCTACCCAGCTGACCAAAAACAATGCAAAACATCAGGCTTTCAATCTGAGTTATCTAATGACAAATAACCATGGAGCAAACCTGTCAAAAGGGCTTACTATTAATTGCTTTTGGAGCTGAAACAATTCAATTTTCAGTTTCTGAAAGAAAGAAAATGACCAAATGAACAAAAAGTTTCAGAAGATACAATGAAACTTGAGATCACATGCTTTTTGCAACTTAAAAACGTTAACATGATTCCAGAAACATCAAGTTTCTATTCAGACTTATTTTGTTCATCCCACTTTGTTAGAAAATTGTCCTATAAAAGGAACAACAACAACAAGATTACATTTGTATAGCGCCTTTCAAGTGGGAGAATGTCCCAAGGCGCTGGACAGAGTGCAGCATTTCAGACCCGAGCTGGGGTCAGGGAGGGCGAAGGGAGGGGAGAAGGGGGGTGGCCGATGGCATGGTCGAAGAGGAGGGTCTTGAGACAGGACTTGAAGGAGGCTAACGAGGGGGCGAGGTGGAGTGATTGGGGGATGGAATTCCAGAGGGTGGGGGCAGAGGCTCAATGGTGGGGCGGGTGGGTCAGGGGACGTGAAGCAGGCCAGAGCTGGCTGAGTGGAGGGAGTGGGTGGATTGGTAGGGAGTTAGGACGCAGCCTGTGGACGGAGGAGTTGGGAAGGCCGACAAGCAGGGCGTTTGCATAGTCGAGCCTGGAGGTAATGAAGGCATGAACAAGAGTTTCAGCGGCCTGAGGGGTGAAGTAGTGCGGGTCATGGCTTGAATGTGGGGGAGAAAAGACAGTTGAGGGTCGAACAAGACACCCAGGTTCCTGATGGCTTGGTGAGTTGTAGTGTGCAACCATGGAGGTTGATGTTGCCAGAGCCTGAGGTGCTGAGGCACTGGCGTGAGCCAATCAGGAGGGTGGAGGGTGGAGGCAGAAAGATAGAGTTGAGTGTCATCTACATACATATGGAAGTTGACCCCATGTCTGCGGATGATGTCACCAAGGGGGAGCATTTAGATATTAAAGAGGAGAGGGCCAAGGACAGAGCCCTGGGCGACGCCAGATGTGACAGTGTGGGGGCTGGAGGAAAAACCGTTAGAGGCAACACAGTGGAGACGGTGAGAGAGATAGGAATCGAACCAGGCAAGGGCAGATCCGTGAAGATTGAGTAAAGCGGAGTATATGGGGATGGAGTGGTCGACAGTGTCGAAGGTGGCAGAGAGGTCGAGGAGGACAAGGAGGCAGAGGGAGCCCTGATCACAGATGTTCAGAATGTCATTAGTGACTTTGACCAGGGCTGTTTCCGTGCTGTGGACAGCATGGAAGCCGGATTAGAGGGGTTCAAAGAGGGAATGGCGAGAGAGAAAGGAGCGGAGCTGGGGCGCAACGTTCCAGGACCTTGGGAGAGGAATGGGAGGTTAGAGATGGGGCGGTAGCTGGAGAGTAGGGATAGGTCCAGGGAAGGTTTTTTCAAGTTGGGGGTGATGACGGCTGTTTTTAGGGGGGTGGGAACTGAACCGGTGCCAAGGAGAGGTTGATGACATCGGACAGGAGAGGGGCCAGAAGATGGAGCTGGGAGACGAGGAGAGACGTGGGGATGGGTTCGAGGGAGCAGGTGGTGGGTTTGAGTTTGTGGACAGTCGTGGTGAGGGAGGAGGGAGAGATAGGGTCGAAGGAGTATAGGGGAGGTTGGGTGGGGGTGGGTCATGAGGGAGAGGTCATGTGGGGGTGGCTGTGGACGGGGCTGAGGTGGCTGAATGTATCCCCTCGGTTTTAGATTTGAGGAAGTCCAGCATCTCCTCAGTTGGAGTTTGAGGAATGGATGGGCGAGGTATGGGAAGGTAAACGGAGGAGACGGTTAGTGGTGAAAAAGAGAAGACTGGGGTTGTTCTTTGCCTTCAAGATAACCTTGGAGTCGAAGGAGGATTTGGCGGAGGCAAGAGTGCATCGGTAGATCTTGGTGTGGTGAAGCCAAATCTGCCAATGGACCGTTAGTTTGGATTTGGTCCAGGCCCGTTTGGCAGCTCGGACTTGTGCCTTGAGGGAACGGAGATGGCTGGTGTACCGGGGATTTACGGAAGTATGAGGCAGTTCGGAAGCTGAGGGGGGCAAGTGAGTCCAGAATGGAGAGGGAGTTGTGCAGAAAGGAGAGTGAGGAGGGGAGATCAGTCAGTGAGGGCCAGAGGTGTAGGAGTTCAGATGACTCCAGGGCAGTGGAGAGGGAGAGGGAGGAAATTTTTTTCCATGGACAGTATGTAATGATGGAGGGAACTTAAACAGTCACACTCAGTTACAGTACAACATACAAAACACATCCCAATCTCGTCATGCTTAGTCTAAGGATGAATAGTGGTGCAAACGTCTTTGAAACAGGACTACGTTAGCAAATGAGTATCTGATCTTTTATTAAACCAACAACAAACTTTAGATAGGAGAAAACATACTCTATACATTGACCTAATATAAATATGTGAATCTGCTTTTCAGAATATTAAAAAAGGATCTGCTCTATCAGGTAAAAAAAAATCACTAATAAATAGCTTTGTCCATTTTTAAACCCTTTCTGAGAGGCAAGTTCTGTTAACAATGGTTTGATTCTATTTAGGAGAATTCAGCGATCCGTTACATTGGGCTAATTAATCCACATTAAAAGTCTTTGCCTATAATGCAGCCTCTTGCTCTATCCATGTCAGGCCTTTCTCAGATTTGATTCTAATATTTATTTTCATCTCCAGAGACGCCAGTATTTTAGAGCACCTTGACAACTCTTCCAGCTTCAAGCTATGATCTCACCTCATTCTCTGCTCGTAATGCTGAGAATTCACTCTTTTCTAAGATAATCATGTCCTTTTTCACTCCGGCTATTTGTGACATTATCTGCTGAAGCATTATCTCCTGCAATTAAATTACAATGGTTACCATTTCAGAATAATTTACAACAGTACTATTCCAATAACGAATTAAGAAAAGCTGTACTGTTGTAATGTACCATATTCTAAGAAGTATTTTGAACAAATAAGTGTAATTTAGAAATTTAAATACAAAATTTGCACTAACACAGTTGAACCCTTGCGTACGTGCCTTGGTATAGTCCTGGTCTACGTATAGCACTGGTGCACTATACAACCCAGTATATTGGAAGTGGGGTATAATTTCAATGCTGACTGACCTGCTTCCTGCACATAGTGCACAGTTGCGGAAAACCCAGCAACCGCTGGAACAACAACAAACATTTATGGAATGCTTTTCACGTCGAGAGGACGTCCCAAAGCGCTGAACAGTCAGGTGTCAGGGCCCGAGCATGGGGGAGGAGTGGTGTAGGCATGAGCGAAGGCTGAGAGGTGGGAGGGCGACCAAAGGCACGATCGAAAGGAAGGGTCTTGAGACTAACCTTGAAGGAGGCAAGAGAGGAAGCGAGGCGAAGGGACTGTGGGATGGAGTTCCAGAGTGTGGAGGCAGAGCGGCTGAAAGCCCGGCCACCGATGGTAGGCGGGTCGGGCGGGAGATATGGAGCAGGCTGGAGCCTGCTGAACGGAGGGAGCGGGCAGATTGGTAGGGAGTTAGCAGGTCAGAGAGGTAGGAGGGGGCAAGGCCATGGATGGCCTTGAAAGTGAGGACGAGGATCTTAAAATCGATCCACTGAGGGATGGGGAGCCAGTGGAGTCGGGTGAGGGTGGGAGCAATGGGGTTGTGGAGCCTGGTGCACAAGAGTACACAGGCTGCAGAGTTTTGGATGATCTGTAGCTTGTGAAGGGAAGAGTTGGGAAGGTCGATGAGGAGGGAAGCGCTTGTGAGAGCAGTTGCTGGCTTCCTGTACACATGCACAGGAAGTCATGTCAGTGGCAACCTGACAGATGGCTATTTTTATAGTGCATAATGGTGTCTGACTGTAAAATGCCAGTTATTACGTTAAATCCACACATCTTATATAAAAATGCAGGCATGTTTCTTCCAATATTAAAAATGCACATGCACAGGCAATAATCCTAATAAATCCTAATAAAACATTGTAGTGAGGTAGGAAAATATAAATATTAAAATAGTTATATTGATATGCTGAGAGACACGGGCAACCGACTAAACTACATGACTGCTGTAGCCAGTGCAGGCCACGTGTAGCTGTATGATTTGGGCTTTTCCCAGAATATCGTGGAACTATATAGAGGTAATTTGCTCAGATGTCAAGAAGTGGATCTATCAGTTGGTTTTCTGACCTCCATTCCTCCTTGTTTCAGAGACCACAAGCTTTCGAGGCATTTTGAAAACCTGAGTCATAGTGGAATCGTGCAAATTCCAGAACTTTACTTTAACAGGTACTTACTGCACATACTCAGAATAAGATCTGGGCAAAGCAGCAGCTGGGTACCATTGCATTCCTCATCAGTGCGGTTTTCTTGAAGTAAATTAAAGCACACAACACCTGCCAATCAATTACATTCACATGATGATTACAGAGTCATCAAGCAGAATAGGGGATGTACCCCAAAAAACCTTTACTCTCACTCAGAGGATCTATTAAACATGAGTTTTTCATCCATAAAAGTTTTTCTTTTAAAAAGACTGAGGAAAAATCTACATACGACTTTTGTTCCCTTTCATCAGGTAGAAGTTAATTGGATATTGTAAATGTGCAGAAGTAACTTGAAGGTGTTATCTCACCAAAGGGTTCATACAACTTTCATAAACGGAGTATCTCATTCTTGTCATTTACTGGGATCTTTGAACTCTGTTTCGAATTGTAGAGCAAGAGTGTTTTTTTTTTACTTGTGTTGCCTTACCTGTTGAACTTTGGTCACCATATCCTTATAAATCATTTGCATATTAGAATTCATGATCTTCAGCAATGCAGCTACCACAACCTCTGATTGATCAGTGCTGAGGCCTATGCAAAAGACAGCAACAAAACTCAAATTACACACTAGATTCTGTTTTAAAGAGGTAGAAAAATACAACGGGAGCAAATTAAACAATGCCTATTCAAAAATGAGGAGATTTACAACTCAGGAATTGCAAGTCTTCCATCCCAACTACCAAAAAACACAGTCAATTCACTTTACAATATATTCTGTGAAGCGTTTTGAAACTTCACAACAAAGTGATAAGGCGCTGTATCAAATGCAAGGATTATTATTATTACGAATAAAAACTCATGTTGAAATTGGAGGATTTGGACACATACCTGTACATCTTTCTGTAAAAAAATTGGAGGATTGAGATGGACCTTGAAGGAGGCGAGGGAAGGGGTAAGGCAGAGGGATTTTGGGATGGAGTTCCAGGGCACGGGGATAGACAGGCTGAAAGCCTGACCATCAAATGATGAGGCAAGCAGGGTGGGGGAACGTGAATCAGGCTGCCGAGTGAAGATTAGTAGGGTTTTAGAAGGTGGCAGAGATAGGGTGTGGTAAGACCATGGAGGGATTTGAAAGTGAGGATAAGGAGCTTGAACTCCATTCTCTGGGGGATGGGGAGGCAGTCTACCCAAGCAAGAATAGGAGTAATAGGCGTGTGGAGTTTCGTGCATGAGAGCACAGAAGCTGCAGAGTTCTGGATGGTCTGCAGCTTGTGGAAGCAAGAATTGGAAAGTCCGGTGAGAGTTGTCGTAATCCAGCCTGGACGTGTTAAAAGCATCCCTCAAAAATGAAAGGAATTGCCGTCAATGGTTTTTGGGGAAAGAATTTATCACATACAATTGAATTTCTCCAACTACAGTACTATGATTAGGTTTTATAAATGAGTGGAACAATATTCCCACTATTGTATGATAGAATTATATCCTTACTCAGTGAACAGCTATGAAGTAGAATTCTGCTATTATTTACAGAACTGCAGCCTTTCCCTCATTTACACCAACATAAAATGATGGAACATTGATAGATTAACTATTACTTTATCCAACATGAAATGTAAATTATTCTCAGCCTTAGGACTTCAATCACAAGATTAAATATAAAACTGAGTGAGCAAAGTTTTGACTCCTCCTGAAGATGACTCAGTGAGGAATGGGCAGCTAACTGAGGGGTTAAACTCTGCATCTTCCAGTTAAATCAGAGTTCTGAAAATAGCTGGTTATATTTGATATATTTAACAGATCAAACGCAATGATGTATTATTCCATAGCTTCTGGTTGAAAGGCTGTTAGAATACAATTGACACTTATATAGTGCATATCAGGAGGACATCCCAAAGCACTTAACAATTCTGGCTGGGCACCAGAGCTGAAGCAGGGTTGGGTGAGGAGGGGAAGGAATGATGGAAAGCATAGTCAAAGAGGTATGTTTTGAAGAATACCTTGAAAGGGGGAAGGGGGAGGAGGGACCTGAGAATGGAGTTCCAGAGATCAGGCACCAAGTGGCTAAAAGCCCGGCTGCCAATGTGAGGCGGATAGAACGGAGAATGTGGAATAAGTGGAGTCCTGTAGCTCAGTGGTTAGAGCACTCGCTTTGCAAGTGAGAGAGACATGAGTTCAATTCCAGGCAGGGCGAAACCTTGGGCAAGTTTCCTTACTCCACACGCCTAATAATAATCCCTCCAAAAAACCAAAAACAATAATTAAATTGGTCATTTTCAATCTACGACTGTTTGTGGGACATTGCTGTGCGCAATTGGCTGCCGCGTTCGCCCACAAATATACAGTCAATTCACTTTACAGTGTGTTCTGTGAAGCGCTTTGGGACGTCTAGAAGACGTGAAAAGCGCTATATCAAATGCAAGGATTATTATTATAAGCTGGTGTCGGCTCAGGTAAGGAAACATCTGGGTTGGTAAGGGTGAAGGAGGTTGCAAAGCTAGAGTGGGACAAAACTATTAAATTTAACCGTTAGAACAAGGATCTTGAAATCGATCCATTGGTAGATGGGGAGTTAGTGGAGCCGTGCAAGAATGGGGTGATAGGCCTACGGAACCTACTGCAGGAGAACACAGGCTGCAAATTTCAGTTTGTAGCCTGTGCAGGGAAGAACTGCAGAGCCCAGCAAGCAGAGCATTTGGAAAGTCTAGTATGCATGTGATGAATGCCTACATGAGGAAACTCGAAGGCTTGGTGTGGCAACTGCTGGAAGGTGTTACCCTGGAGTCCAATAGGCCTTTTATGAACCTGAACACCTGGCTTGCAGAGAGGCATGCAGATGCTGCTCAAGCTCTGCACCTCCAACTGGTGGAACCATCGCTCAATGTGAAGGGATGTGTGCTCGAGCTATGGGCAGGAAGATGGTGGCAATGTTCTCACACATTTCATGCTGAGCTGTGTTGCCCACCAGGAAGTTCACAGGGAGCTCAAACCCATGCTCGTCAGATGTAAATGACCAACTGGTGACTATCTTCCTTGAGCAGTGAGTGGGAGGCGGGGAAGAGGTAAGCAAGATCTCATTGGAGCTGACCTGGCTCCAAGGCAACATGTTTGGCAAAGAAATGTTAAAATCGAGCCCACCCTCTGTGGCAGTATCGGTAGCCCAGTTACTAAACCAGGCAGATTCGTAGTACTCTAGGGCACTTCTGATGAGAGGATAGACAGGCTGCCTCATCGGCGGCAGACCAGTCACTGGAGCACAGACTGTTTTCACTCAGCTCCAGTTAACTGCGCAAGCTAAAGCCCTAACAGATAGGGTATATCTGCTATATCAAGCAGTAGGAAAGCTTGCTAGGCAGTACTCTCAGTGGCAAGCTATGCGGTTTTAGCTGGTTAGACTCCAGCAGTACCCCAATACACACTCTAGGTCCCCAAGCTTTGGCTCTTGCCAATCTGTGTCTAATAATTTCCGGAATTAGGTCAGCAGGTTGCGTCCCTCCAGATAGAGAATGAGCATTCCATTCCAATAAAATCTCTAGAATTTGCATGTATAGGTGGGATGCATCGAAATTTATTTGGTTATTCTTAAGCATGGTGATAGGGTTACACAGGTGTCACGAGACACTTGGCTGACCAAGAAACATATTGACTGTCATCAATGTTATGTTGAAATGGCCTTTTTATGAGAAGCACAATGTTTTCATCCCTTCCTTCTAGTTACAAGTTTCACTCCCACGACTGCCTCTCTGTCACTCAGTCTCACCTATCAATTTCAGTCACTTTTGTCACAATGACTTTGCCAGTCAGACCTTTCCATTTGACAACAAGTAACCTCCATGGAGAATATAAAATGAAAATTGGAATTAAAAGTAAACCCACCACTTTACTTACCATTTTCTTCTAGTAGTCGCACTACTGCATGAGTATCAAAGTAAAATTTTTGAATCTCCGATGGCAACAGGTCTACTTTTCTCAAATCATACTGCAAGCATACTGTTGACGTGCTCAGCTCTGAAATAAATGATGCAAGATTATCACCAGAAGAAAAACAAGAAACTTAAAAAACTTTCATTATAAATGATTGTTGAGCTATCACAGAAAATTGGGTAAATAAAAGAGAAAAAAAGTAGAATGCCATCAGAATAGGTAACTTCTGCAGGGAGCTCATAATCATGGGATCAAATAGCGTTCCTATTTATCATGAACTTTCTATGCTTTTAATACACATTTTAAACTGCATGAAAATCTCCACTACATATATCTGTTGTGGAGAAGAGTAAGGAGAGAATCTAAAAAATAACATCATTTATGAAAAGACATTTGACTGAGTCCTGTAGCTCAGTGGTTAGAGCATTCGCTTTGTAAGCGAGAGACCTGGGTTTGATTGCCAGTAGGGTGAAACCATGGGCAAGTTTCCTTACTCCACACGCCTGATAATAATCTCTCAAGAAAACAAAACACTAATAAATTGATCACTTCAAACCATGACTGTTTGTGGGACACTGCTGTGCGCAACTGACTGCTACATTTTGCCCATAAATATACAGTCTATTCTGTGAAGTGCTTTGAGACATCATGAAGACATGAAAAGCGCTATATCAAATGCAAGGATTATTATTATTATTCAGTCAAATTATGGTTTCAGATGTTATTCCATGTGAAGGATGCCATATGAATCACCACCCACCTCCGCTCACTGAAGAGCCAGGTGCGGGCCTGCCTCAAATCTGGCCTAACGGTCCACCGACAAATCTGGCTGGACCTCCTCAAAATCTACCGCTCCACTCTAGCCTCGGCCAAGTCGTCCTTCTACTCCAACTCCTCCAACCTTCACTGCGAGGAGATGCTGGATTTCCTTGAATCCAAAATCAAGCGAATCTGCTCCGCGGTCACTCCCCCTCCAACTTCCACCCACCCCCCACCCCTTCCCTCCCACACTCCGACTCCTACCCATCCTCCCCTACACACCTTCGTACCCATTTCCCCATCCTCTGTCACCAAACTCATCCTGTCCCTGAAACGCACCACCTGCTCCCTTGACCCCATTCCCACTCCACTCCTTATCTCTCAGCTCCACCTCTTTGCCCCACTTATCACAGACATTATCACCCTCTCCTCTGGCTCTGTTCCCATTCCCCTAAAAACTGCCAACATCACTCCCACTTTGAAAAAACCCTCCCTTGATGCATCGCAGCTATCACACTACCGGCCCATCTCCAACCTCCCCTTCCTGTCCAAGGTCCTTGAAAGAGTTGTCACCTCCCAGCTGCGCTCTTTCCTCTCCACCCATTCATTATTCGAACCCCTTCAGTCGGGTTTCCGTGCTGCCCATAGCACAGAAACCGCTCTGGTCAAGGTCACCAATGACATCTTGACCATCTGCGACCAGGGTTCCCTCTGCCTCCTCGACTTATCGGCAGCATTCGATACGGTCGACCATGCTGTCCTCCTCCACCGCTTGTCCTCCCACCTCAACCTTCAAGGCCCTGTCCTTGAGTGGTTTAGGTCGTATCCCTCCCACCGTCTTCATTTTATTTCCACAAACAGCTTTTCCTCCGGCCCCCGCACTGTCTTGTGCGGTGTCCCTCAGGGCTCTGTCCTCGGTCCCCTCCTCTTCACCCTCTATATGCTCCCCCTGTGGTGACATCATCCGCAGACATGGGGTTAACTTCCACATGTATGCGGATGACACCCAACTCTACCTTTCCTCCTCTACCCTCAACTCCACGACCACCGATGTCCTGACAGCTGCCTGTCCGACATCGAGTCCTGGACGAGAGACAACTTTCTTCAGCTCAACGTGCGCAAAACTGAGGCCCTCCTGATTGGCTCACGTCAGCGCCTCCGCACCTCAGGCGCTGACACCATCAGCATCCAAGGCTGCACTCTCCACCTCTCAAAGCCAATCAGGAACCTCGGCGTTTTGTTCGACCCTGAGCTGTCCTTTCTCCCTCACATCCGCACCACAACTGGCACCGCCTTCCATCACCTCCGGAACATCGCCAGACTACGGCACTACCTCACCCCTCACGCGGCTGAAACCCTGGTTCACGCCTTTATCACCTCAAGGCTGGACTATGGGAACTCTCTCCTCGCCGGCCTTCCCGCCACCTCCCTCCACAAGCTGCAGGTCATTCAGAACTCTGCAGCTCGTGTACTGTCCCGCACCAGGCTTCGGGACCACATCACTCCCACCCTCGCTCGCCTCCACTGGCTCCCCATCCCCCAGAGGATCGAATTCAAGATCCTCATCCTCACCTACAAGGCCATTCACGGCCTTGCTCCCTCCTACCTCTCCAACCTACTATCCCCTACCTACCTGCCCGTACCCTCCGTTCCTCTGGCTCCGGTCTGCTCCACATCCCCCGCCCCAACCGCCCTACCATCGGTGGCCGGGCCTTCAGCCTCTCAGCCCCGAGGCTCTGGAACTCTATCCCCCAGTGCCTTCGCCGCCTCCTCCCTTTCCTCCTTCAAGGCCGGTCTCAAGACCTTTCTCTTTGACCGAGCCTTCAGCTCCCCTCTCGACTCTCTTCCCCCTCCTCGCTCTCTCCCTTCCCTCCCCTCACCCTGACCATTTCCCCCCTCCTCGCTCCCTCCCTTCCCTCCCTCACCCTGACCATTTCCCCCCCAATGCTCGGGTCCCGACCCAACTGTCCAGTGCCTTGGGACGTCCTCCCGACGTGAAAGGCGCTCTATAAATGTAATCTTGTTGTTGTATCTTGTTGTAAATGCAAGTTGTTGGCATTATCTAATTTGCCATTAAACACGATGATGATAGAGCTGCACATTCCGAGAAAGTGAAACTGAACAACTGTATTTAGCATGTGACAGTGTCAATTTATGTCAGTCTTTTGGAAGCATTTTTCCAATTAAATTTAAGATTCTATCAACCTCCAAATGCTATGACTGACATTTCTGTTTGTTGCCCCAAACACCTGCTAGAAAGTGTGTGAGTGAGTTGAATAGTCTGTTAATGCTCACTCATGAAGCCCACACTTGTAAAATAGCCACTTGGACAAATGCTGCGAGAGACACAGTCAAACACCGTGCTATACATACATATACATACATAATAATAATAATAATAATCCTTGCATTTGATATAGCGCTTTTCACGTTGGGAGGACGTCCCAAAGCGCTTCACAGAACACACTGTAAAGTGAATTGACTGTATATTTGTGGGCAAACATACAGTATACAGTGCTATACATACATATACACACATACAGTGCTATACATACATACACACAGACACAGTGATATACATACATACATACATACATACATACATACATACATACATACATACATACATACATACATACATACATACATACATACATACATACATACATACATACATACATACATACATACATACATACATACATACATACATACATACATACATACATACATACATACATACATACATACATACATACATACATACATACATACATACATACATACATACATACATACATACATACATACATACATACATACATACATACATACATACATACATACATACATACATACATACATACATACATACATACATACATACATACATACATACAGACACAGTGATATACACACATACACACAGACACAGTGATATACACACATACACACAGACACAGTGATATACACACATACACACAGACACAGTGATATACACACATATACACACACACACAGTCTCACCCCTGGCGGGCGCCCTGCCCTTGCCATTAGCTCCTGTCCAGTCGGCAGTGTCCGGGCTGCCGTCACGCAGCCGCGCTGAGGTCGAGCCCCACTGACAGCGAAAACCTGAAGCGGATGAAGCAGTGACCCTCCGGCTTCCCCGCGAGGCGAGGAATCGGCAGCAGCCGCGGCCCGGCCCCGGGCGGCCCCCGAGCCTCGCCACCGCGGAGCCCACACCGACCGCGACCGCCCGGCTCATCAGCGCCTGACGTCACTGCGGGCAGCCTGACGCCGCGCACGGTCCTCGCGCTGCAGCTCGCGCGCCTGTTCTCCCGGTGACGTCAGCAGTGTTCCCCCTCCCCCCCCCCGCGAGTCCACCGCGTCAGCGCCTGTGATTGACAGCGGGTCAGGCCATCCCGTCTGTACACGCGAGCGGCCGCCACCCAATGTTGGTAGATGGGGCGGGTTCACGCCTAATTGGGCGGGTTTGTCATGTGTTGGGCTTCAAGCATGGCTTTGGGCGGGTGGCCTAATTTTAATTCTTTTACATTTAAATGTTTGTTTGTCCTTTGAGGACATAAATATCCTTGTATTTGATATAACACCTTATCACGTCTTCGAGACGTCTCAAAGCGCTTCACAGAATAGACTGTAAAGTGACGTCCTCCTGACGTGAAAGGCGCTCTATAAATGGAATCTTGTTGTTGTTGTTGTTGTTGAATGGACTGTGTATTTTGTGGGCGAAACACAGCAGCCAATTGGGCACAGCAGTGAGTGTCCCACAAACAGTCATGAATTGAGTGGCCAAATTATTTATTTATTTTTTGGAAGGGATTATTATCCCCAGAAAAGCAATCCGCCAATCAACTAACAACCGGGTTCCTACTTACTGCGAGGTGAACAAAGCCGTGGGTAAGGAAACTTGCCCTCTTACCACATAAAAACATTTTCAAGATTCTCGGCCACATTTTCAAATGCCTCCATTGCATCGCTTCACTCTACCTTTGTCTTTTGCTGTGAAGCAGCTGCGGTTCTCTCTGTCTGCTCCAGCCCACTGCTCCCCCTGCCTTCTATGCCCCCCATTGCCTGGAAATCCTCTGATGGACTAACCATCAAGTCACTCTGGCCCCGCTCTCTGGAAGTCCATCCTGGAGAATCTGTCTCAGCCCCTCCATCTCGAAAACCCACCTTAAGTCTTCAACTGTTTTTAGCTACCATTCCCCTCCCCACCATCTTGGGCTCCGAATCAGCTGTGTGAAGTCCTTTGAATGTCCTCTACGTGAAAGTGGCTACACATTTGTAAATTGTTGTTCTGGTTTAAAATTAATGACCAATGTTGATGGCTGCTTTGCACTTGTTTTGATTGTAAATGGCACTGGCAACAATTCTCAAAGATGACAACCCTGAACACAACATCAAAATATACTGCAAAAAGAAAATGTTTGAACCCTTTGCCTTGTGAGAGAAAGACATGAATGCTTCTACTCATCAAGAAAAAATGTGCAAAAACATATTCAGAGGTCCTTGCATGTGTATATGGTAAACTCAGCTCACAGTATAATCACTAATAACAATCTCTGATTCACAGTGCTGATGAGCAGTACATTGATAAGGCAAAATGATAGGTCAATAAATCATATTTTCTTGGTTTACTTTAACTCTAAAGAGCTTATGCTTACCTACACAACGCCCCTTCTGATTTTATTTAAAAAAGAACGATGCTCAATTTGTCAATGTCAAAAAGGGTTCAATCAACTTGAAGCAATTCATCGTTTGAAATACTGTACCTGGATCAGATACTTTCAGTCATGTTTTTTCCAAAGAAAACACCAGATGCAGAATCAGGCCCTTTCCCACGAGGAGGTTGAGAAAAAATCAGATGGTCAGGTGTATTACCCTAGCTTGTTTGCAGATCTTCACAGTTACAGAGTGGCAGTGTTGTTGTGCTGGAAGAAGATCGCCCAGTGTCTCTCTTCATTGGAAGCCATATATTAAGAGTGCAAAGTACAGGATCTGCACTCAAGAAAGGAATTATCCTATTACCCAATATTTGATCTATGAAATAAAGAGCATCAATGTGCACCACGCAGTATACAAATGTAAGCCACTACGCAGATAGCGAACATTTTCATTTGCAATTATTGAAACTAGAAGAGGTTTTAATAGTTGCTATTTTTCCGGAAAAACATAATTTTCCCAGCATGACAGGTGCTATATTAATGTAAATTGTGGTTGTTTTAATTCTTTATTATAAATAAATCAATAATAAACAACGCTTACATTTGATAGAGCGCCTTTTCATATTGGGAAGACGTCTCAATGTGCTTTAAAAGATTTAGTGTAAATTGTATGACTGTGTATTTTGTAGGAAAACTAGTATATAATATTTTTCCAAGATGTCAGAAGTTAAAAGTTAGTAGTTATGGACTGGTTGACATTCAAATTAAAAAAATAAAAGTGTCACAGATTAATAATGTCAGTGGGAGCTCCTTATCAGAATTGTATTTTATCTGTACTGAGATCTGACTTCATCTGTAGATACTGTGGTAAAATTAATAAGCTTCTGTAATACTCAGCTTTTGCTTGGACAACTTTGTGACAGAACAAGAGGTGAATGAACACCAATGTGTTAGCCTGTTTAAATTTGTTGAGTGATATTTGACATGTCATCTTCAAAAAGGAAACTCAGAAAAGTAATCTTGAATTCCCGGGGAAGCTGTTCAACAGTGGTTGAATGAGGAACTCAACAGGTAGCTTCAGATTTTTATATTTAACAAGTTTTTCCTTATGTGAACTTCAGTCATTTTAGTTATCATGTGTCACTGGCACTGTGGCCTGTGTGACACTGTCACCGTTTGAATTTCTATCCAGAGTTATTTCCGCATCTTATATTCTAACAACAGGAAATGTGACAAGATCACAAGCGAAGTTTAAAAGCAAAAAAAATTTACAGCACAAAAGGCAATTTGGCCCATTGTGTCTATCCTGGCTCTTTTAAGGTGCAAATCTTTTAGTCCCATTTACATGCCCTTTCCCCATACCCCTCTAGTTTACTCCTTAATTTGAATGAAGAAAACCCTTTCACCCTTATGATTTCATCCTTCCAGAATAGCCTCATTCCCATCACAGAATCAGACTATTCCTTAAGTGAATCCAGCATCTTGGCTCCAACTCCTTTCCTCTCTCCAGTGTTAGAGATGAGTTGTGATGAAGTTGGGCTCATCAGAGATTTGTTCCAGTCATTAACTGCCCTCCAGGTAAACATATACTTCCTGGTGAGTGTCCTAAAATTACTGTTCATAAACTGACCCTGTCCCTTCCTGTCCTTAGCATATCAAAAAGTATTAATCTGTAATTAACTCTTCAATCCCATTTAATGTTTTATATATCTTTAAAAGATCCCTCTCTGAGTGGTTTTATTTCTCTGATGAGCTCATCTCTAACACTGGAGGAAGGAGTGGGTATTTCTCTCAAGTCCTGGTTGATCTAAATTTGCGAATTTTGAGATGTTTATGTCTGTGTGGGATTCATTCACCTCTCACTTCATAAATAACAATACGTTTCAGTGCCTTGGGACATCCTACCAATGTGAAAGGCACCATACAAATGTAAGTTATTGCTGAGGTTTGTACTAGATGTCAACAGATCACAGATCTAAACATTTCCTGAGTATTGTACAGAGAATGGCTGGTGAACAATCATCTTACCTATTACAATGGTATACAACAGACCACCTTTTAGATTATAACAACAGTTTGCACAAAAATAATATTTTTCACATAACATGAAAATCTCAAAGTAGCACAGACTATGACTCATAGGTTGAGATGTTGATAGTTCTGTGTTGCTTTTCATTCCGCAGATATTATTTCTTTTTTTTCAAAAGCTGGGTGGAGCAGGAGTGTGAGCACACTATGCCCAGGGAATGCTCTGTTGCTCTGCCCCTGGAGATGTTTCCTTGCTATCAAAGTCATGGTCAAAAGAGAATGCGGGCAGACTCCCTCACTACACTGACTTGTGGCCAACATTCTTTTCATTATATACTGCCAAAAATGTATAATGAGAAAAACAGCGTAAAAGAACGCAAGTGTTCTAATTACTGGATCTCTTCACACAGGTGAGAATGTAGAACTCACTGTTGGAAGCTGTGGTTGAAGCAAAAAGGCTCAATGCATTTAATGGAAACGTGATGCATACATGAGGGAGAGAGGAATAGAGGGGAGGCGATTAGGAAGGATTGGGGCTTAGGAGGAGTATAAACACCAAATGGATTAGTTAGAAATGGCTTATTTCAGTGCCCTATGAAAATGCTCTATAAATCTTTGTGATGCTATGTGATTAGAGACTATAAGGAATTTCAAAATATTTGCTAAACTTTTTTTAATAACATACTTAAAAATGATTTGTGTTTATTTAATATTCATCTGCTGCTGATTTTATAATCGTATTCATTCTAGCAATTTATCTTGTAAATCTGGGTCCAATTAATATTTTCCACCTTCCAGAGTGAGATTGATGGCATATCTGATGCCTACATTTAATCTTGATGCAGCCATCCGCTTGGTGAGATTCCAGGCCCTGTAATACTGTAAAGGCTGATAGAGAAGAGCATTTCCACTGTAGCTGCTACAATCAGCTAACTCAACAACCAGGGTTACAACCTGGGACCTCCAGGGGTGGGAGGAGAGCTCCAACATTTATTTTATGCTTCAGTTTATATATTACGCAAATTAATTACTGCATTATTTTATTCATAAGGCACTTTATAAACAATCTTGGTTGAATGATGATTTGTCATGGATACTCTTAAACCTGGTGATGGGTTTACACATGTATCAGACACCCAGCTGACGCCCCAAAAATGTACAGACAGAATGAACAGTGATGATTAAAAGGTGATCTCTGTCCTCAATGTGGAATTGTTTCATGAGGTGGATTCCATTCAGCAGTATTAATATTTCACCCACAAAACATACAGTCAATTCACTTTACAATATATTCTGTGAAGCGCTTTGAGATGTCTCAGAGATGTAATATCAAATGCAAGGATTATATATGTATACTGGAAAAAAACAACACACTGCCTTTTGTCCTAATATTTAAAACCAACTGTATGACAACTTATCCCTACTGTACCTTTAGAATGATTAAAAAAAGACAAATGTTAGTTCAGCTTCAGGTTTATGTTGCACGGTAAAGACTAGAGCAGTACGTATCAGATAACAGTTTATAGAATAAATCGCTGCAAAACACACGCAGAAGTTTACACCAATTCACATTTCGCCTTTTCCTCCACTGTACTGTGTGTGTGTGTGTGTGTGGGGGGGGGGGGGGGGGGGGGGGGACTAGAAATGTGAACAGTTTTATTCTTACACTTTTATTAGTTATGCTTTTGTCTGTTCTTATTCCTTAAATATAACTCATCGGTTAATCTGATTACACATAACTCACATTAAATATATCAACCTTTTGCGTTGATACAAAGGGGATGGGGTGTGTGTGGGTGGGTGTGTGTGGCTGTGTGTGTGTGTGTGGGTGTTTGTGTGTGGGTGTTTGTGTGTGGGTGTCTGTGTGTGTGTGTTTGTGTGTGTGTGTGTGTGTGTGTGTGGGTGGGTGTGTGTGTGGGGGGTGGGGGGATCACTATATATATCCATACAAAGCTTTACACAACAGTCTTTCTTTTGTTCCTTTGGCTTTTGGCAAATATAAGTGAAGAAGACTCTTACTGTACTTGTGCACCAAATCAGCCCGTGCATCGGTCTCTGGGGACCAACACGGGGTGTCGCTCACGGTGTGTATACAGTAAACCGCCCAGTCAGTCGGTAAACTGCTGAAGGACCGGTTGGTGAGCTGAGTCCTCCCGGAGCTCCCGGTGCTGTGGAGAGGAGCGATCAGGCGAAGGTCGCCACACAAACCGATAAGACAACAGCGACCAGTGCTGCGGTGCAGAGGGCCATGACCACCAGCCACTTCTCTCGGTCGCAGCACTCTCTCCTCCTCACCTCGTCCTCCGAGGACAGCAGAGCAGTGGAAGAGAAGTCGTTGCTCACCACCGAATGTATCTCCTCTCCCTTGGCTTCCACAGTCCACCTCAGGACGTTCACCTTCATCTCCATGTCCTCCGCCATCCTGTCCACCTCCCCGATCTGCTCCTCCAGCTCCTGCAGCTGCAGCCTTTCCGAGTTGGGTGAGGTCTGATGGACGAGGTTCTGGACGCTCAAAGCTCTGGCGGTCACTTCGGAGGTGTCTCCGCACATCCCGGTCTGGATCAAGGGTCTCTCGGCCCCGGAGAGGGGGAAGCTCTGCCCCAGGTCCAACACCTTGCACATGTCTATGTGGAACACCTCCAGGTTGGAGGAGAAGAGAACCCAAAGGCGCTCCATCTCCGGGCGCTCCTCTTTGCTCAGCTCCGTGTCCCTCAGCACCGCCGTCAGGTTGGTCCTGATGGCCGCTGCCAACTCCTGGGCTCTCTCCCTGGTTCTCCGCAGCTCATCTCTCAGGTTGGTGGAGTCAGACGACCCCCCCAGGTTGACCGCCAGGTGTTTGTAGCAGCCGATCACCTTGTTGAGAGACTGGACCAGCGCCTTGCACTCACCCCTCGCCCTCTCCGACTTGGCGGTGCCTTCATCTGCCACCTTGGTGCTGTGGATCGGCATAGAGATGTGGGTTCAGCCTCAGCGCCCTGTGTCCTCCCGGAAATCACACCCCAACAGCCGACCCCAAGACAAGAAACATTTAGCTCAGACAGTGCAGCTCAGCTCAGCTCAGCTCAGAGCAGCTCCGCTCCGCTCAGCTCAGCTCACGGGGATTGGCACTTGTGTTGGGAAGGTGTCCCCAGCGGAGGCAGCGCCTCTCACCAGCCTTCGTGGCACAGTCTAGAAATCCATCAAAAGTTATCGGTGCAGCAACAACACACACACACACACACACACACACACACGCAGAGCAGTTTGTATCGCCGACCCGCACTCTCTGGATCTCTGTGGTGCTGTTCAGCCTTTGCGCCCTCTTCCTCCCTCTCCTCACTGACTGTACCTCGGCCGCTCCGGGCAGATCGGCAGCTTTATTTCTCCAAATATTACAGACCTTCCCGAGTGACTGACTGTGACTGACTGTGACTGACTGACTGCGCTCCACTCCGACTTCAAGCCAATCTCAGGAGATTACAGCGCACCGTGTGACGCAGGGGCCGGGAAAGGAGCTGTAACCTGACTGCACACGTGTGTTTCATGTGTCCCCATGTACCAGTTGCTGGTCCCTGTGCAGACAGATCTTGCACAGCTCAGCACTCTTCAACTGGCTGCCTTATTTCACCCACAAAATACAGTCATTCCACTTTACCGTATATCCCGCGAAGCGCTTTGAGATGTCTCGATGACACGATAAGGCGCTATGTCAATGCAACGATTATTATTATTATTATTATTATTATTATTTATTTTGCTGACGAAGCCTTTGCGCCGACTCCATCAGAAAGTTGCCACATTATTTCTGGTCTATTTTCATATCTGCTCATCTGGGGCTCAGTGATCCTGGGAGGAAATAAAACTAAAATTACTGCATTTAGTATCATAAAATTGCATAGAGCCTACAGCACCCTGGTCATATATTACTCCACATGAGCCTCCTCCCATCCTAACCACCCCATCCCTAGCCTCCCCACCATACACCCCTTTATTCCTGTGGGCATTAAATCCAGGAGTCTACTTGCATTCTTTATAGCCTTATGTTATATTAGGCCTGTGTTATTACTTTCAGAGATTTATTAATCTGAATTCCCAGATCTCTTTGCTCCACTAACACTTTTAGCCTCTTACCATCTAAGACGGTGGTAACTAACCTTTGTGGTCGGCCAACAAAATTTATGCCATGAATCAAGACATATTCAATCAAGCAAGAACAGAAGGCACACCACGGACTTACCTAGCTCGTGCGAATGTTCAGGGATAGCTTATTGACAGCCCCTCTGGCCACTTCCGGCCCGTGGGCCACAGGCTGTCCACCACTGATTGAAGGCATAATCGCCTTATTTATATTGCTCTTTCGAAGTGAATAATTTCACATTTTTCTATATTGAACTTCGTCTACTCCCTATCTGTCCATTCTACAAGCCTATTTATATTTATCTACATAAGTTTCTAAAACTAGAATATTTAGTGTCAATGGAACTGAAGTTACTGTATTTAATAACTATGGAACCAAAGTTAATATCGAGTGCCAATGGAACTAAAGTTATAGTATTTAATATCCTACAAAGGATCAAATGAAATAGCAAAGCAAAACTTCTTGCAATTGCATTGATAACGTTTTGAATAATCCAGTGAACAGATATCATAATTGTGAAGTTTGTGGAGGATTACTTATGGAGAAGAATGTTTATAACATGCTACAAGTTGTGTAATCTTGTGAAAACAATGACGACTCAGGTGAATTTATTATCGTCACCAAGGATGGACTATGCCCAGAGCGCACAAATTTTCATATTCTATCCAGACTTTACATGGCCTTTATTAAAAGTGTGTTTGGCTCATTTGGCATGTTAAGGCCACACTGATAGATGGGTGACAGTGACAGATGGGTAGGACTGATTCTTGTTTGAATGTGGATGCTTGCAACTCTCTGGTTACTCATGGGAGGAGGGGTGGGAGGAGGTGGACACACAGCTATTCTCAACAGTGCTTGCATTTGATATAATGCTTTACTATTAAGATGCCTCAAAACACTTCACAGGAGTTCCTCTGATGCATAGTGACTGCATATTTGTAGGCAAACATGGCAGTATCTTTGTGCACAGCAATGTCTTACAAACAGCCATGAAATTAATGATCAATTTTGTACCTGGATGATTGTTGGCCAGGACAATGGGTGAAGCTTCTTTCTCTTTTCAAATAGTGTCAGGGATTTTTAACATCCATATGAATAGGTAGACTGGACCTTGGCTTAATGTCTCATTCAAAGCACGGCACCCCTGACAATGCAGAGCATCCCCAGCACTGCACTGGAGTAAATGTGAACCTCCACTCCTTGGGGGAAAGGTAAGCAAGATCTTCTTGGAGCTAATCTGCCTCCAAGGTGACATGCCTGGCAATGGAATGTTGGAATCAAGTCTCTGTGGGTGTCTTGGTCATCCGGTTCCTGAGCCAGGCAGGTCCGCAGTACTCCAGGGCATAGCTGATGACAGACCAATCAGTATGGCTCATCGGCAGGACTTGGAGGGGCAGACTGTTTGCTCGGGGCTGAGATTCTTTGCACTCAGCTACTGTTAACCTCACAAGGCAAGCCTTAACAGTAGGGTGGTCCAAATTAGACAAGCAGTGGGAAGTTTATTAGACCGTGTTTTCAATGGCAAGCCATGTTTTATTAGCTGGTAAAACTCCAGCAGTACCCCAAAGCACACTATGGGGTCCCCAAGCTTTAGCTCTTGCCAATTTGCGACTAATACTTTCCTGAATTAGATAAAGAGGATGCGTTCTTCCAGATAGAGAGACGTTCCATTCTGCTACGTGGGAATTTCCAAGTGTGGGTGGGATGCATGAAACTGTCTGTTTTTGATACTTAAGCATGGTGATTCTGCAGTTTTTGCAGATACGTATCTGACCCAATAAAGAAATGAAAGCCTGACCAGTGAGCATCAATGGACCTTTTGACTATAAGCACCATCAGAGTCAAGTTTGATCCTATCCTCATTCAACTTTCAACACATACACATTTCCAGCGGTGGTGATTGGATAGTGATCAGGAATGGCTTACATAGTTGTCTCTTTATTTTGGCCAATTGCAGCACTTTCATCATCAACTGACAGACGTTGGCTAACACAACCCAGGCTAGAGATTGTGAACCTTACTGGCATATTGCAGTTGGGAAGTTCCACACAGCCCAATATATTTATTAAGACATTGGCAAGTGATTCAATCCATCCTTAAAAATCACTCCCTCTTCAAAAATCATTAACTCCTCATACAAATTAATGGGCAAAGTATTCAGTGACCACAGTTGGGAAGTGAGCATTGCATGCATGTTAGGAGAGAAGAGATTTGGGCTCCGCTAGGCTGTTCCCTCCAGGTGAGAAGTCTATCAGCACTTACTGGGCACACAATGAAGAATGGCCACTTGGACAAAGTGCTGGAGCATTTATACAGCATGAGGCAGCACTCGAGGAAGAAGAAACAAAGGAATTGGAGGGGAAAATAAAACTTATTTGTGATATCAATATAATAATGGGAAGCATTAATTTGAGCATCTCTTGGTTTGCCCAGGAGGCAGGATTCTCCTTGGTGATTTCCAGAAGGTGCTGTCATGTGCAAAACTGCTAGAGAGCAAAACAGACACTTGTGAGGAGATAGTGAGAGACCCTTCCTTCTGAAGGGATAATCTGCCAAACACCTGGGGCCACTTCTGGCAAAACTTTGGTTCACCTCTCGGCTTGATTGAGGCACACTCACATTCGTGCTTCTTTCAGTTCCGCTGAGAGTTGTTAGACCTTGGCTGCTCTCCTGGGACGGTGGCACATGTGCATCAGTCACACGCAAATGTAATTAATTTAGATGGAAAATTTTGTAATGATGCGTCCCTCAGTAACCAATTTCTGATCCTGGTGTTCTTTTTATCTGACTCCCTAACAGTTATACAAGTAGCGTCAAGCCCCATTGTACAAACAGAACAATTTGGTCCACAGCCTCACAGTGCTTTTCCACAATAGAAAGTCTCTTGCTACCACTACAGTCACCATTGAGAGAGGAAAGAGAAGAATTTCACAAGGACAGTGGTTGCTGATTTGGGTTTCTAGAATTTTTTTATGCATTATTGTCTGGATTCAATAAAAATTGAATATTTGTTGTTTTTCTGTGCTGCTCTATGTCAATTGAAGATGAAGAATTGAGAAATAAAAATGAGTTAAAACATGTCTGGAGCCTTATAAACAACATAGGAACATAGGATTATAGGAACAGGAGACGGCCATTCAGCTCCTCAAGTCTGTTCTGCCATTCTAAAAGATCATGGCTGATCTGTACCTCAGCTACAATTACCCGCCCTTGCCCCATATCCCTTGATACCCTGACTTCACAAAATATCTATCCAGCTACCTCAGTCTTGAAAATTCAAATGGATTCAACATCCATAGCCTTTTGGGGAAGAGAGTTCCAGATTTCTACTACCTGTGAGTGAAAAACTGCCTCGTGATTTCACTCATAAATGGCCTACCTCCAATTTTAAGATTATGCCCCCTTATTCTGGATTCCCCACGAGAGGAAATAGTTTCTCTGTATCTACCCTATCAAATCCCTTTATTACTTTAAAAACCTCAATCAGATCACCCTTCAAACTTCTAAACTCAAGGGAATAGAGACCAAGTTTATTCAAACTGTCCTCACAATTTAACCCTTTTAGCCCTGGTATCATTCTGGTGAATCTGCACTGCATCCCCTCCAGAGCTAATATATCATTCCTGAGATGCAGTGCCCAAAACAGAATGTTGTACTCCAGATGGGACCATGATCAACAAGTGTCCAGAACACACAGGTTTATTAAGGCAACAGAAGAGGCCTTGGTGTCTGCAGCAGATTTGTGGCTTGCAAGACCAATGGGTAGCTGATAGAAACGTGGGCATTGACTGCTGATTCCCAGGGTGAGAGGTAACCAGTTAATAGAACCGCAAGCTTGGATTGATTCAAAAGATGAGGCATGGGTGTATGATTAATCTGGTGGAGGAGCTGCATGTGGTTTGAGTCAGTGCAGGAGTCATT